ACTCATCTCTTCGCCTCGCTTCTCACAATTTTTATGGACTAACACTTAGTAAATTGCGAAATCCATATGGAGCAGTGCCACCTTAAGCCACGATAATTACTTACATTGTTAAATAGAGTTGGGCGATTTCGTTCAGTTGAGTGATCGAACGAACTAGCTCATTTAGAAAAGTGAACTAGTTCGTTCACTTCGTTCAGTCATTTATTTCGTTCGAATAGTTGACATATTTCAATCCTTCAGTGAACGAACTTCAATATTTGAATGTATCTTATATGTAACTAAAAAACAGAATTTCCAGTTCATTGCGTTTTTTGTATTAATATGTAATAACAAAAACTAAAATAATATTTTACATATCTACATATACATATGTACATATATTAAGTATGTTTATCTCGAGCAAAATTAATAAAATTTAAGACAGAATCAAATTTATTTACAGTGTCGGACATATAATTTGCAAACAAATTCAAAATGATATTCTTTGCCACTTATGTTTATATATTAATTAAAATACAGTGCATTCTCTAACAAACCCCATATAAACCCAGGCTTAAAACTTAGTAGAAAACTAAAAAAAAATCAAAAAATTTTCTTTCTTATTTTTTATTTTTCATACGTGCTAGAATTTTAGTATAATAATGTGCAAGTTTCAAGTGTCTAGGAATTTCAGTAGATTTTTTAGGTTTTTTTTATCGCATTTGCTTTCTTATAATGAATAAATACAATTTAATTTTATATGGAAGAAAACCGCAACACCTTCGGCAAAAAAATTCTAAAAAATGAACGGTATTTCCTAGACCCTTGAAGCTTGCACATTATTATACTAAAATTTAAAGGACTATAAAACTGTATACTCCAAAAAATCTAGCACTTCTGAAAAAAACGTTTGAAATAAAAATGAAAATTTTTTGATTTTTTTTAGTTTTCTACTATGTTTTAAGCTTGGGTTTATATGGGTTTTATTAGAGAATGAACTGTATTTAAATTAATATATAAAGATAAGTGGCAAACAATAATCATTTTGAATTTGTTTGCAACACTGTATATATTTACATGTTGTGATTAAGAAAAACTAAACGTGATACTTTCTCTGGCTTAAGGAGAGTTCTTCTATCATTTAGGATGAGTCCTGTGGCGGAAAAGATTCTTTCGCATGGAACAGAAGTGGCTGGGATACATAGCCGTTTGAGGGCATATTTATAAACGCGAGGATAGAGGGTTTTTCTTGCTCGCCACCATTCGAGTGGATCACATTTTCTAATCACGTACTCTTCGTTAACATATTTTTCCAGTTCCTTAATAGCAGCCGCAGTGTTATTGTGTGGTTGTATTGTTTTTGAAAAATCTTCATCGAATTCATTCCATATAAAAAAATTCTGCTTGTCTAAGTTGTGGTCTACTGTAGTTTCAGTGCGATTTTCTTCGACGTTTGGTAGTGTAATTGACGATATCCTTGTCCTCAGATTTGCTAGTGCATTTTCGTATGAAGCTTCAGTCTTAAAAGCTTTTTTTTTAAATCGGGGATCTAGAATGGCGCAATCCGTATATAGATTGTTTTTTTCTATGTCCCGAAATCGATTAATGCAACCATTTTTTAACCTTGCAATCATTGCGGACACTACTTCGTTTTTTGGTTTTGTATTAACCAAAAACTTCTGAAGAGCTGATGACAAATAAAGAATTTTAGAAAGAGTTATAAACTTTTCACCACACACCTCTTGAGTTATTTGGTAAAAAGGCAGGAGGCAGGGCATTGCTTCTTCAATTATTTCCCAATCCGAAACGCTCAACGGCATGTTCAGATGCAGAATCGAATAAGTGGCTATTAGAGCATCCTTCAAATGAATGACTCGTTCAAGCATTAAGTAGCTGGAATTCCACCTGGTAGGCACATCTTGTTTGAGTTTAACCTCAGGGAGGCCCATTTGCTTTTGTATTTCCAACAGCTTTTTTAATGCAGATGGACTTCGTCGAAAGTGCTCCACTACTTTTTTAACTTTTGAGAGAGTTTCGTCAATTGTCTTCATGCCATCCATTACAATGAGATGAAGTGAATGCGCAAAACAGGAAATTCCCCTCCAACCTCCAAGACGAATAGCTGCTTTAATATTAGCAGCATTATCACTGACAATAGCAGTCACCTTATTGGATATATTAAAATCTTCGCAGGTTGTTCTGATGAAGTTATATAGATTTGATGCGGTATGGCTATCTACAAATTCGTCACATCCTAGCAAGTAACTTTCCAGTTCAGCGCTATCATTAATGAAATGAGCGGTAATGGCTATAAAGCTACTTGTTGTTCTGGATTGCCATCCATCTGTAGTGAGGCAGACGGCTGCAGCCCCTTTAATTCTAATTTTTATTTTTTCTAACAACTCATTGTAGGCTTCGGCCATGAGATTTGTTGACAGAGTTTTCCTGGAGGGGAGCTTATAACCAGGACAATGAGAAACCATTTCCAAAAGTTTTTTGAATTCTGGTTCTTCCACTATTCTTAAGGCGTGGTGACCTTTCGCAATCATCTTAAGTACCTGCTTATCAATTTTTTCCACTTTCTTTGTTGACGGTGGCCTATGACAGAATTCTGTTATATTTGTTTGAGTATTTCGAGGAAATGATGAAATCTCTTCAACAACTGATGCTGCTGTATTATTTGCTTGAGGATTTTGTGGTAAGGATGAAACTTGTCCAGCTATTGGTGCTCCACCTTCTGCACCTTGTTGAGCTTGGTGGCGTGTACTTTCTCTCTCTGCGTCAAGTTCGTCGACAGCCTCATCTTGCAACTCGGGCGACCACTGGACACGCATTTCTAATCCTGTTAGTATTTTAAACCGGGATTGCTCAGTGATTCTCGGCGGTGTGCTATTTATAATCTGCTGTACCCGATCCACGTACTTATATCAGCTCTTGGGGTTTTCATGACACATCTTGGATATCGTGGGTGCATACGTTCCACTTGGCCATTTCCACGTGGGACACCAGTCACTATAAACAAATGCTGAATCTTCTCGTTTTCATAATAGCTTTTGAAGAGATTTGAAGTGAAAGCTGCGCCGCGGTCGGTGACGATACGCGCCGGATTCCCAAATACTGACGCTTGTTTCTGCAACCGGTC